AGGCTTTGGGGTTTTGGGCTTCGGGGTTTTTCTTTTTTTTCAGGGTTTAAGGTATCAGGGACTTGTGAGGGATCTAAAACGGCTCCAAAGAGGCTTTCTCGACGGCTTCCTAGTGTCCTTTTGCTTTCGTGTAGGCGCATCTCCGCGTCTTCCATGTTTTAGCACTCGGCTTTTCCCGGCCCTTGCGGAACTAGCTGCTGGTGATGAATTCTACCCGAGCGAATGGCCAAGCTTTTGAGAAAGCTCGATGAAACCCCATAGAAATTCTGAATCGTGACTCTCATGTTGTGAATCCAAGGGAGTTTCCTCTAGATCCGGCAGAAGTTGATCAAAAATCCCAAGCTCAGCCTTACCTGCAAACGCTCGGGCCCAGTCAAAACCCTAAATACTCTGAAACCAATCCCCAAACCCAAAACCAATAATATAGGAGCCTTCATAATTAGAATAAGCTTTTGGGGCCCATTCTACTAGAATTATAAAACCCCCATAATAGTATTGGTAATTGTTTAAGCGCCTGCATCATAATGAAACTCTGAAGCACACCCCGAACCCCAAACCCTGAACCACCAAACCCTAAGACTCTGGGGAATTTCCCACACCTGCCACTGAAGCCTCGAACCCTAAACTGTTTTTGTCTCCCAACTCTACACCCGAAGATGCTTCAACCTCCAGCCCGGCCCGAAACCGCAAACCCTACAAAACCCCTAGAAACTCCTAAACCCTAAATAAACCCTAAACCCTAAACCCTACAAACTCCTAAACCCTAAACTCAGAAGCCTCAAACACCTGAGCCCCAAAACTCGCAAACCCTGAACCCTTTCACCCAAACCTAAACCGGTCACGAAACCTTAAAAGCCGCAATCCAGGCCTGCTCTTATCGCGCGCGACTGCAGGGCTTGCTACGTAATTAGACCCCCGCCTTAGGCACCCAAATGAAACCTGCTGAACCTCAAACCAGCAGATCCGTACAGTACCCCCTGAACCGAACCCCTTTGCCGGCACTTGTCTTGGAGAATATGTTAGTATGATAAGATGGGGACGATAACCGGATAGTACGATTGATTCAATATCCCTGGCCTGCTTCAATCCGAAGGTGGAGACGTCCCCGACGTCTGCACTAGTCTGGTCGGAGCGACCTTGATTTCACTGCGGGAAACAAAACACCTTGAGGGTTCTTCGTTTTCGTTTGTACAGGGGGTTCGCGTTGCTGTTGAAGTTCCGGGGTTTAGGGTTTCAATTGTAAGGATGACGGTTGGGGCTCTTGTGCAAACATCCGTTCGTTGTGGATTTGAAGGCTCAGTACCAGCAATGGAAGGTTGGAGCGTTGGTTACTGCATAGGGCATAGATAGTCCAGAGTTTGGTGGAAGGGTACGTACGGTTTTGATGCTTTAGAACTGCATTACAATACGTTTTACTTACTGTTATGGGTTCGTAGATACCAGTACGTACAGGTGTACGTGGTTACATTCCAGGGAATGCACAGCGGCATGAAGATGTGAAGGGGTAGTACTTACCTTGCCTGAGGACCCTCTCGGATCCGTAGGCATGATGGGTCGTATACAAAGTTGGGATGTACCTACGTATTTACCAAACTTACCTACGTTCACCCTCCTCAGAAATAAATGAAGCAATTGCCGGGAGTGGTGGAGGTTGGATGCATACGTACGTTTTCTTGGGGTTCCTTATGCGTCTTGGCTACCTAGACAGCAAGACGGATGAATGCTACCGGCTCCTGGGAAAGCAGCAAGCAGCACACAGTTCCTACAAGCTGCTAGACTGAATTCGTTCGAAGTGCTGGAAGAAAAGATTTGCCCTGAACCCTAAACCCTAAATCCTAAAATACCACGAGAGCACATGGAAAGCTTGTGGTTCTTGGATCAAACCAAGAAGCATCCGGTGATGGCCACCACTTCGCCGACAGCGACACCTTTTGTGGCCTCCTCATCAGTGACATAGCCGCTGTGGCCATCTTGGTACATCTTCCAGAGGTTCTTACCTGCAGCACAGGCACTTCGATGCTTCTTCCCTAAAACTTCCACAAAAGACATGTACGAAGAAACCCACCGTCAAGACTGTCTTCGGCGAATCTTTCACAAGCTCCCGACGCCCTAACCGCGGCGTAACCCCTGTTCCGCCGAGCTGCCAAGGGAGCTCACGTCGCCGAAGAGCTCCTTGGAGGAGCCCTGTCTCCACTTCCTGGACTCTGCTTTTCTTCATACATATATGTATTATTCTTAGGCTACACATATGTGTATATATGTGTAAGTTATACACATATTCTGGTAACTTAAGCCACATTCAGTATTTTGGGTTCCGTAAGCCTAGCCCCAAAACCCCAAAGTCCCTCAAAAGAGGCCCAGCCCTAAGCCCTAAACCCTGAACCCCAAAGACCCTCAAAAGGGGCCCAGCCCTAAGCCCTAAACCCTGAACCCCAAAGACCCTCAAAGGGGCCCAGGTTCTCCAGGTCGGACTTCCATCGCATGGCCAGCGCCATCCGGACGGCCTGGCCGGCCACCGCCTTACGGAGCTCTTCCTGCAGCTTTCTTGGGGCCTAAACCCTAAACCCTAAACCCTAAACCCTAAACCCTAAACCCTAAACCCTTTCGATGAGTAGGCCGAAAAAAAGGGGTCTTCGAATTTTGGGGGCCTTGGAAGGCTTTCGGGTTTCGTCGTTCAAGGGCTTTGGCGGAATTTCGTGGATGTCAGTCCTCGGTGCCCACGAAGATGTAAGGCAGATTCAAGGCCCCGGCACTGTGGCAGCTGTCCAAGATGCAGGTCAGCCGGCAGCCTTCCGGCAGGCGCTTCACCAGCCGCTCAAAGAGCTCGGTGTCCCGGAGCATCCCTGTCAGGGTTGAGGGTTTCTGCAGGGCTTTAGCTGTTGATGGTTGAAGTTTAGGGCTTTAGAGTTTTAGGCCTCAGGCCTTTGCATTGGCTGGCAAGCGCGCCGAAAACCCACTCCAGAAGGGTGGTTAAAGTCCCAAACCGGAAAGGAGTGTTGAATGCGGAGCCCAAAACCCTAGAAGGACAACTCGCCTCCAACTACTCGTATCTCTGGAGCACTCCGAAGCCAAACTTCCGCCACCTCAATCTGTAGAATGCGAATGCCTGCGCTCCTTCTAAGAACACCGCAAACCTTGAACCATGTCATACGACTGTTACGTTATAGGGTTTATAGGGTTTAGGGTTACCTCGAAATAGGAACTGAGCCCTACGTTCCCTGAAGCTTCCCACCGGCGGTTTCGAAGTCCAGGGGCACCAGGGTCTCATGGTAGCCGCCCTCCTTCCATGCCAACCAGAACTGCCGAAAAGCAATGCAGATGCACGGGTGTCAGACAAAACTAGTACAAAAGGACTCTCACTTTAGCAATGATGCGGGAGCTGCATGTTCTGCGTAACCCCTTTCAAATCCTAAACTCAAGAACCATAAACCATAAACCCTAAGCCAACCAAAAAGAAAAAGGATCCATCAGACGCATGAAACCTCAGAAGCCCTCAGGTGCAGCCCAGTGCTCCTCCGCAGGCTCTCGGCCCCCGTGTCCCGAGTAGTGTAGCAGCAGCGCGTCCCCCGGCTGGGCTTCCGCCACCAGCCAGTCCAGGCCCTAAATTCAAAAGAGGGCTCTGTATGAATGAGTTACTATGAGAGCTTAGGTTTAGCCCTTGCCACTGTATGAGTTTAGGGTTTAAGGCTTATGATTTCGGGTTTGAGCTGAAGGCTACATTGGCTACATAAGGGTTGTACATACAGGGACACATAAGAGCTCGCGTTCAGGCTCTGACTCCAAGCCTTTGGGGCTTTGGGGTTTTGGGGGAATCGTTCGGATTTTGAGCCGGCTTGGGATTTGGATTCTGGCTTCGCTGGTGTGGCAGTTCTTGGCCAATGTCAGCGGTCCCCCGTCACTGGTGGATTCAGGGTGTTTTGAACTTGGGACTTGGCCTTGCTTTGTTTATGGGGTTATGGGATCCTCAGTGAGGTTTAAAGTGCGGTGCGTCAGGAGCTGGGGCTCTTTATCATTCTCTCAGTGCTTATGGTCGAATGCGCTTCCAGACACTGACCCCAAACCCGAAATCCTAGAGGCTCGAAGCCCCGAGAGCCCAAACCCGAAACGGCTGGCACAGCAAGAGAGTTCAAGATCCCTTAGTCAAGGAAGCGTCAGAAATCCTATTTTCTTCGCTTTGAGGTACGCCGAAACTAAACCCTAAACCCTGAAACCGTACTCCTTGAGGTACTCTAGAGGCAATCCCAAAACCTTCCGTATTTGAAAGAACGGGGCATTGCGCTCTCACAGCCCAGAGTGCTCCGAACCTCCAGCATGTTGGCATGAGTGGGCTTCGGCCCTTCGGCGCCCTCCTCGTCCAGGAGCACCTTGCAAACTTTGGGGGTAAATGTGGGGCATGGGGGGGTTCAGTCCTGAGGGTTTCGAAGCGCCTGGAGGTGTCTTCGGCTTGCAAGGATGTAGGGATGGACGGAGGTCAGCTCCGAGCCGGCGCCCGCCCCAAAGCAAGATGCGACGTCCGAAATCGGAAGCCGAACGAGTTCCTGAACCGTAAGCCAGAAACCCAAAAAGACGTCACGTCACGTCAAGTCAAGTCATGTCATGCCATGCCATGGCATGTCATGTCATGTCATGTCATGTCATGTCATGTCATGTCATGTCATGTCATGTCATGTCATGTCATGTCATGTCATGTCATACCATATCATACCATATCATACCGTACCGTACCATACCATATCACATCATGTGGGGACCATAAGGTGATACTCTTGCTAGGTATCCTGACCCCTATACTCCACGAAGCCCCCGGAAGATACCCCAAGCGCATGCCTTCTGGCTTCCGCCATCGGAATGGAAACCGAGCTTTTCCTTGGCTACGACAATCTAAGTGACGCTCCGATAGCTCGACGGAGCCCTCATGGGATTTAGGGTTTAGGCTTTCGGGTTGGCTCAGGCCCTTAATCAAGACACCCAAGGGGGAGACTCCCCCAAGCCCGGAAGGGGGGGTGGGCGGGTTGAGGGCGGGTTTGGGATGGCTTGGCTTTGAGGCTGAGAACGCGGGCACACTGCGCCCTCCACGTAAACACTAGACCTAAACCAAAAACAGCCCAAATCCCAAAACCCCAAAAACCCAAAACCCCCAAAACCCTAATCCCTAAAAGCCATCAAGACCGTGGCCCCCGTACCGGCGCTACACACCCCAAATGCAGTTCTGGGAGTCCAGGCTTTCGGGTGCCGCCCAGAACGCTCTCTTCTAGCGATGTTAGCGTTTTCGGGGTCAGGGCTTAGAGATTGGTTTGGGGTGCGGGGTTTGAGGGTTTAGGTCTTCGGGGTTTAGGGCTTTCAAATGGGTTTAGGGTTCAGGGTCTGAGGGTTTAGAAATGGGTTTTGGGTTCAGGGTTTGAGGGTTAAGGTTACCCTATTCAGCAAGGACTCCAGCACCGGGATCATGCGCCGCACGTCATTGGCACCTGAACCCCAATCGAACCCCAAAACCCTGAACCCTAAACCACAAACCCTAAACCTGAACCTCAACCCCAAAGTGAGATGAGAAGTCAGAACTCAGAGCTGTGAGTTGAGATGTGCTGGCTAAGCTTTGGAGATTGAGGTATAGGGCTTAAGGTTCGGGGGTTGAGGATTTCTGTATAGGGTTACGGGTTTAGAGATTGGGGGCTTTACGGGTTCCGGGCTTGAGGGTTCAAGGGCTTGGAAGACGATTGGTTGCAGGACTGACGGATACTGTAAAACCCCTTCACAAGGGGCTTCAATGAACTCCGAAAAAATCTGCACCCTGCCTAGGCCCTAAGGCATAAGCCCTAAGCCGCTAAAGCTGCAAGCCCTAAACCCTTAAACCTTAGATCCGAAGTACCAAGACCCTAAACCACTGAAGCACTAAACCGTGAACCCTAAACAGCGAAACCCAAAAAGAATCCTAAACCCTCAACCCGTGAACCCCTACAACCTGCATCCCTGGGCCCTGAGCAAAACTTAAACCCCCAAAGTCTGAAATCGTAAATCCCTGGACCACTGAACCCTTAAACCCTGCCCGAAACCCATAAACCCAAACCCCAACCCTTAAACTACTGAACCCCTAAGCCCTGAACCCTTGACCCTAAACCGATACACAGAAACCCTGAAACGCAAACCTCTATACCATTGAACCCCAAACCCTGAATCGTAAACCCCTGAACCACTGAACCCTTAAGCCCTACACCGTAAGCCCCTGAACCACTGA